GTTTCCAGAAGGGAGAGGGAACAAAACTCTGGATTGTAACCCATCTTACATGTTTATGCATCTATTGGGAGATATTTTATAATAATAACTATGCCAATTCTTCATAATGTTGGGAATGAAATGGTCAAAGAGTTAAGCATGGAAACAGTTAAGCAAGCATATAAAATGGGGAAAAGGGAATTTGTTTTGGTTAAGCAAAGAGTTAAACATGGAAACAGTTAAGCAAGCATATAAAATGGGGAAAAGGGAATTTGTTTTGGTTGGTCTGTTGCTACATGCTCATCCCTATGCTGGATTATTTCAAACTGCTGCTTTTACAAAATCCCTGCCAGTTAAGTGTTTTATTTTTCATTGAGGTATAGCTGATTTATAGTATTAAATTAGTTTCAGGTATACAACACAGTGATTCAAATTTTTTTTTTTAGGTTATATTCTCTTTTTAGTTATTATAAAGTATTGACTGTAGAGTATATTCCCTGTATAGTATATCCTTGTAGCTTATTTAATACATAACTTGTATGTTAATTCTGTACTCCTCTATTGCCCCTCCCACCTTCTCCCCTCTGGTAACCACTAGTTTGTTCTCTATATTTGTGAGTCTGTTTCTTTTTCATTGCATTCACTAGTTCATTTTAGTTTTTAGATTCCACATATAAGTGATAATGTATAATATTTGTCTCTGACTTATTTTACTCAGTATAATTCCCTCGAGATCCATCCCTGTTGTTGAATATGGCAAAATTTGTTATTTTTATGGGTAAGGAGTATTCCATTATATTTAAATATACTGCATTTTCTTTATCCATTCATCTGTTTATGGAAACCTAGCTGTTGTATATAATGGTGCTTCCATATCTTGGCTACTGTAAATAATGGTGCTATGAACATTGTGGTGCATGTATCTTTCAAATTAATGCTTCCACTTTCTTCTGATATATAGCCAGGAGTGAAATTGATGGGTCATATGGTAGTTCTATTTTTAGTTTTTTGTTGAACCTCCATGTTGTTTTCCACAGTAGCTGCACCAGTTTACATTCCCATCAACAGTTTACTAGAGTTCCCTTTTCTCCACATCCCCACCAATATTTATTTTTTGTTGTTTTCTGTATGTCTTCTTTGGAAAAATGTCTATTCAGGTCTTCTGCCCATTTTTAAATTAGGCTGTCTTTTGATATTGAGTGGTATGAGCTATTTATATATTTTGGATATCAATCCCTCGTTGTTCATATCATTTGCAAATATTTTCTCCCATTCTATGGGTTGTCTTTTTGTTTTATTGATAGTTTCCTTTGCTGTGCAAAAGCTTTTAAGTTTAATTAAGTTCCATTTGTTTATTTTTGTTTTTGTTTCCTTTGCCTCAGGAGACAAGCAAAAAAATGTTGCTATAATTTATGTCAAAGAATATTCTGCCTATGTTTTCATTTGGGAATGTTATGGTTTCAGGTCTTACATTTAGATCTTTAGTCTGTTTTGAATTTATCTTTATTCATGGTGTGAGAAAATGTTCTAATTTCATTCTTTTAGATGTAGTTGTCCAGTATTCCAAGCACTGTTTATTGAAGAGACTATCTTTTCTCCATTGTATATTCTTGCCTCCTTTGTTGTGAATTAATTGACCATAAGTGTGTAGGTTTATTTATTTATTTTTGAGCTTTCTATACTGGCCCTTTAATAGATGTGTTCATTTTTTTGCCAGTATCATACAGTTTTGATTGCTGTAACTTTGCAGTGTAATCTGAAGTCAGGGAACGTGATTTTTTTCCAGCTCTGTTCTTCTTTCTCAAGGTTGTTTTGGCTATTAGAGGTCTTTCAGGTTTCCATGCATGTGTTAAGTTTATTTGTCCAAGTTCTGTGGGGGCATAGGGAAAACAGGAAAGGGTTGGAGTAAGTGAAGGACAGAGGATTATTTAACAGAGGGAATCTATTCTGTATGATAACTGTAATGATGGACACATGATATTATGCATTTGTCAGAAACCCATAGAACTTTATAAAACAAAGAGTGAAACTTAAATATGCAAATTAAAAAATCATGTAGTATGTTGGGAATGCCAGGATAAAATGCAGAATTATGATAATACAATATAACCATACTACAAATGTGTTAAACAACCTCTCTAAAAGGTGTAGAGGCACAAAAGTGCTGACCTAAGTAACCTCAGAAACAAGTAGAGTCTGTAAGATTAAAGGCAAAAGGAACTGTATGTAGGTGCTCAGCTCTAGTTGATAAAACTGTTTCCCAGGGGAGTACATATTAAGGATTTTAATAGCACTACACATGCATACTGAAACTCAACAACTAAGGGATGGAATGGGCAGTGGTGGGAGCCAAGTTTGGTTGGAGGTTACAGATAAGTCAAAAAAGGAGGCTGGAATCATCCATGTGATAACAGATTAGAGTTGGACACATCAATATAGGATCATGTTAGCTTAATATAGACACAGATGGGTATATTTAGAGACACTTATAGATATGTGTATATACATGGGTTTGTATACACACACACATACTTCCTTGCTCTGTCAGCTGAGAGGGCCTAGAGGCAATGACACTCCAGCAGCAATGCACACACCAAGCACCCAGATCGTGCTTTCTAATCTTCTTCTTCAACAAAAGAAACCAGACTTGCATATGTACACTTATGGCTGATTCACCTTGTTGTGTTGCAGAAACCAACACGACATGGCAAGGCAATTATCCTCCAGTTAAAAATTTAAAATTTTTTTAAAAAAGGAACCAGGACTTGGATAAATGTCTGATTTTAGGTCTAGGGTATAAAATAAACAGTATACGCATGGATCATCTTACTGAACCAAAAAGAAAGAAAGTGCTCAGAGAACAATGACACAGTGATGGGGATGTGTCAGAAGGCTACAGCCACCTGAAAGGGCTCCCAATGGCCAAAGCAGGAAGAAAAATAAATGAAGTAGTGTAGGACTGAAATTGAAAGTAGAAGATAAATAAATGAGTCCATACTGAAATGGATCCATCTTTGAATAAATAAAGGGAAACAGACAAATTCTCTGTAACAAAGCATTCTAAACATTTTATGTAGATCCTATGCCCTCAAGGATATAATTCCCCACTTCTTGAGTTGAACATAGTAACTTCTTTCAAAAGAGCACAGTATGAGAAAGGGAAGTACAGTATAGAAAGAACAACTTTATACTGGAGACATTACAGCCCTATCTCAGCCAAATGATGGAGGTCAGCATCTATAGTGATGTCACACTGATATAGGTACCCTTGATCTGATGTGATGAGAATGACTTTATTGTTTTGGTCTTCTTCCCCAAAGCACATAACCCCAGTACAATCATGAGCAAAGCAATAGACAAATCCCAGTTCAGGGACATTCTACAGGATATCTGACCAGTAGTCCTCTAAACCATCAAGGTCATCAAAAATAAGGAAAGTCTATGAAACTGTGACAGCCAAGAAGAGCCTGAGGAGACATGACAACTAAATGTAAATCCTAGACGGGATCTTGGAATACAAAAAGGAAATTAGGGGAAAACGGAGGAAATATGAAAAAAAAGTGTGGCCTTTAGTTAATAATGTATCAATACTGGCTTCTTAATCATAACAAATGTACCATAGTAATGTAAGAGGTTAATAACGGGGAAAACTAGTGTGCAGAGTATGAGAAAGCTCTGTACTATCTTTGCAATTTTCCATAAATCTAAAACTGTTTTGTGTGTGCTTAGTCACTCAGTTGTGTCTGACTCTTTGCAACCCCACGGACTGTAGCCTGCCAGACTCCTCTGTCCATGGAATTCTCCAGGCAGGAATACTGGAGTGGGTTGCCATGCCATCCTCCAGGGGATCTTCCCGACCCAGGGATTGAACCCAGGTCTTCTGCGTTGCAAGTAGATTCTTTACCATCTGAGCTACCAGGGAAGCCATACAACATTTACATAGAAGAATTTGAACTGCTGAGTACTACCCTGAGATTCTGATTTAATTTGTCTGATGTGTGGCTTGAACTTTGGGACTTTAAAAAGCTGCCCAGGTAGTTCTGATATGTCTTCAGCAAACCACTGCTCTAAAGGAAGGGAGGGTCTTTATAGTGAGCTGCTCTTTCTTTTTTTCTTTCTAATTATAATGAATACTCTGACCTTGTCCCTAGCAAAATAGCATTATGATTTAATGATGTTGTTTGAATAAAGCAGTTTTTCACATGTGCAGCCAGCAATATAGAACTTAGAGAATGATGAAAGTGAAAGTGTTAGTCTCTCAGTGTCCAAGTCTTTGAGAACCTGTGGACTGTAGCCTGCTAGGCTCTTCTGTCCATGGAACTCTCCAGGCAAGAATACTGGAGTGGGTTGCCATTCCCTATTCCAGGGGATCTTCCCAACACAGGGATCGAACCTGGGTCTTCTGCATTCCAGGCAGATTCTTTACTGTCTAAGTCACCAGGGAAGCTACAGAATGATATTTCTCATTAAATGAAAAAAAAAAATCTTGTTTAAGAAGCTTAAAATACCATTAACTATTTAGGTAAACAGGGAATTGTAGACTATGCTAAACGTACTGTCGGTTTAAATCTGAATGTAGTGGCAATGCCTTTCATTTCTCTCTAATTCTATGCCACATGTTGTACATGTGTGCCTGATCAGTTGAATTCGACTCTTTGTGATCCCATGAACTGTAGCCCACCAAGCTTCTCTGTTTATGGGATTATCTAGGCAAGCATATGGAGAGGGTTGCCATTTCCTCCTCCAGGGGATCTTCCTAACCCAGGGATCGAACACTTGTCTCCTGTGTCTCCTGCGTTGGCAAGTGGATTCTTTACCACTGAGCCACCTGGAAGGCCCGTGCCATGGGTACATGGAGGTAAAACATCTGCTAAGTTTTAGGTACAAAGTTTGGGCTTTCTGGAGACAGTGGCTTATTTTCTGGTGTTTAAAAAAAAGGTAAAGGCTTCATGCACTGGCAAATGCAGCTTTAAAGTTCAGGAACTTGGAACTGACCTGAGCTGTCTATGTTTCTCAGCTAGGGAACCTGGCAGTTAAGTGTTCCTGGGGATCAAATCTGATGCTGGAGATAACTGCTTTACCTATCAGTGAGGAAGAGATCCTGCTGACCCCAGCACCTGGACCAACTTCAGTGAAGAGACAGAGGCTAAGAGGTGATGGAGCCCTGCTTCCTCACACACAGACAGGTGGACCTAGAGACTGCCACACAGAGTAAGTCAGTTAGAAAGAAAGAAACAGATATCGTATATTAATGCATATAGGTGGGATCTAGAAAAATGGTAGAATTGATCTTATTTGCAAAATAGAAACAGAGACACAGACATAGCAAAATGATTGGACACCAATGGGGGGTGCGGTGGTGAGATGAATTAGGAGATTAAGATTGACATATATACACCATTGATACTATGTATAAAATAGATAGCTAATGAGAACCTAAAAAAAAAAAAAAAACAAAAAACTAATGTAAACCCCCCTAAATTATGATACTTAATTTGGAACTGGTGAGACTATATTTTCAGACTTACTCTGTTTACTAAAAATCATAACAAGCCAGGAAATTGCTTCGTATACATTAAGTTATAAAGAAAGATCTATTTTTCCTATCATTTTCCTTCCTCAAAAATAGTCATTCATAGGAATTCCTACTTTTCTAAACCTTTAAGAATATTAATGAGCCAGAAAATACTTGTTGATTGAGTCTTCTAGGCACTGGGGGAGATATTTACAAAGCTGAAAAATAATATTGGCTTTTTATTCAGGCATCCAAGCAATGCTTGAGTATTTATCGCAGTATCAGGCATCTGCCAGGTACTGGAAATTTTAAAAATGGAACAAAAAACTAAGGTTGGTCTTCTTTATTAAGTAGCCCATAGTCTAAGAACTTACTGCCTAGACTGGTGGCTTTCACCCAGGGGAGATTTTCACCCTCCAGGGATATCTGACAGTGTCTGTAGAAATATTGGGTGGGCACTGCCGGGAAGGCTGGGGTGACCCTACTGGCATCTAGTGAGTAGAGACCAGGGAAGCTGCTAAATATCTTCAAACACACAGGATGGTCCCCATAACACAGAAGTACAGGGCTCAGAATGTCACTGTGCTGAGGTTGAGAGACCCTGAAAACCCATTGGACCTTCCATCAGAAAGAGAACACACTCTCCAGGTGTGAATTAGGAAAGCCTCAAGACCAGTTCTTGCCTTCTCTTTACCACATGAGGTTAGAACAGTGGAGGGGTCTGAGCTGAGGGGCGAGTAAATGTCCGCACTGTCCACTCAGAGGCGTTACAGTGGTCCTGCTCAGAGGACGGCCCACTCGTCTGCCATTGGGTCCTAGCAGTTCCAACAATAGGAGCCCCAGCATGAAGGCACTTACAGTTCGATCAGGCTGCATCGAACATATGACCTGACCTTGCTTTCTGTTGAGAGCAGGCAAGTTCCTATAGTCAACCCCGGAAATCCTTTTGGATAATATTACTAAAAGCTGAGAATGCTTACAGTTAACACATTTGTACTGAAGTTGAAACTGCTATAAGATTTTTGTGTCATCTTCATCTCAATTCAGTCACTCAATCATGTCCGACTCTTTGTGACCCCATGGACTGCAGCATGCCAGGCTTCCCTTCACCACNTTCGCTTTCTGCCATAAGAGTGGTGTCATCTGCATATCTGAGGTTATTGATATTTCTCCCTACAGGCTTGATTCCAGTTTGTGCTTCATCCAGCCTGGCATTTCACATGATATATTCTGCATAAAAGTTAAATAAACAGGGTGACAGTATATAGCCTTGACATACTTCTTTCCCAATTTGGAACCAGTCCGTTGTTCCATGTCCAGTTCTAACTGTTGCTTCTTGATACAGATTTCTTAGGAGGCAGGTAAGGTGATCTGGAATTACCATCTCTTTCAGAATTTTCCGCAGTTTGTTGTTATCTGCACAGTCAAAGGCTTTGGTGTAGGCCATAAAGCAGTAGATATTTTTTTGAAACTCTTTTGCTTTTTCGATGATCCAACAGATGTTGGCAATTTGATCGCTGGTTCCTCTGCCTTTTCTAAATCCAGTTGTACATCTGGGAGTTCTTTTTTCACATACAGTGGAAGCCTCACCTGGAGAATTTTGAGCATTACTTTGCTAGCATGTGAGATAAGTGCAATTGTGTGGCTGTTTGGACATTCTTTGGCATTGCCTTTCTTTGGGATTAAAATGAATACTGACCTTTTACAGTCCTGTGGCCACTGCTGAGTTTTCCAAATTTGCTGGCATATTGAGTGCAGCACTTTAACTGCATCATCTTTTAGGATTTGAACTAGCTCAGCTGGAATTCCATTACCTCCACTAGATTTGTTTATAGTAATGATTCCTAAGGCCCTAGACTTTGCATTCTAGGATGTCTGGCTCTAGGTGAGTGATCACATCATTGTGGTTTCTGGGTCATTAAGATCTTTTTTGTATAGTTCTTCTATGTATTCTTGCTACCTCTTCTTAATATCTTCTGCTTCTGTTAGATCCATACCATTTTTGTCCTTTTTTGTGCCTATCTTTGCATGAAATGTTCCTCTGGTATCCCTAATTTTCTTGAAGAGGTCTCTAGTCTTTCCCATTCTATTGTTTTCCTGTATTTCTTTGCACTGATCACTGAGGAAGGCTTTCTTATCTCTCCTTGCTTTTCTTTGGAACTCTGCATTCAGATGGGTATATCTTTCCTTTTCTCCTTTGCCTTTAGCTTCTTTTCTTTTCTCAGCCATTTGTAAGGCCTCCTCAGACACCATTTTGCCTTTTTGCATTTCTTTTTCTTGTATCATCCTACTTAAATATAAAAAGTGGTCTTGGAACCATGTGGCTCTGTATAGGCAGTAGCCACATGCAGTTATTTAAATTTATATTGTTGTTGTTCAATTTCTCAGTTGTGTCCAACTCTTTGTGACCCCCATGGACTGCAGCATGCCACGCTTCCCTGTCCTTCACTATCTTCTGGAGCTTGCTTAAACTCATATCCTTTGAGTCAATGATACCATCCAACCATCTCATACTCTGCCATCCTCTTCTCTTGCCTTGAATCTTTCCCAGCATCAGGGTCTTTTCTAGTGAGTCGGCTCTTTGCATCGGATTAATTGAAATTAAATAATATTTAAAATTCACTCCTCAGTCACACTAGTCATAATTTAAAGTGCTCACAAGTCACATGTACTTATTAACTGTAGAACTGGACAGGGTAGATGCAGCACACTTATAATATCACAGAAAATTCTATCAATAACATTGTCTTACAAGCCATTTCTAAGGATCCTCACCAGTATTAGTTAGACTTAAAAAAAAAAAAGCTTGTTTTCTAGCAGCTGAGGCACCAGGGCAGATGCTTTGCAATACCTCATTATCCCTGTTTGTTAGAAAGGCATAGACATGTTCTGCTAGGGGGACCATCTCTTGTCAGACATGGTATTTTGTGAAGCTTTATGTAATAGATGTTGAGTAAGGTTATTAGATGATTGAAACTGATTTTCCAGAAGGTGTAACAATGTAAAATTCAAGTAGATAACCCTTATCAGGCATTTTTGACCTAAATCAAGTGTGTATTGTTAAATATTAATGCCATTAAGGTATGTCAGCAGGAAGTTAAGATATGTGACCCAAATACATTTCTTTCTGGTAATTGAGTGTAATAGGGAACTAGTGTTTAGTGGATTTTAACTGGGGTTGGGGCAGGATGAAGGGAAGAGAAGAGGGTCAAAATAACCTAGGGACCTCTTGCAAAATTTATAGGGTGCCAGTACATGAGATTCCTCAGAATGGCGGGGTGAGTGGGTAGGGAGAATCTTGCTCATGTAACTTATTTTGAAAAAGTTCCCTGTGTAATTCCAGTCTACCTAATCCAGTGTATTGTTTAGAGATAGGAAAAGGAAAATTAGTCTGTCTCTTCCATTGTATGGTGGAGTGGTGGGGGAGGGGGTAGATTAATGTGTCTTTAAAAGGACACCTCTAGATATGATTCCGTGTACTTGGGTGGGCCTAGATACCCACTCAGTTCTCTCTCACTCTCTTTCTTTCCAAGGGCCTCTGGCCATTCTTATCTTCCCTTCTCCTAGGTCATTTAGAACAATCAACTGGGTTTAGAACAACTGCCTTAGGCATTTCTTTCCACTATCAGGTGTGTCTAGCAAGCTCCTGTGTGTGCATGCTAAGTCACTTTAGTCACATCTGACTCTTTGCGACCCCGTGGCCTGTAGCCCACCAGACTCCTCTGTCCATGGAATTCTCCAGGCAAGAATACTGGAGTGGGTTGCCATGCCCTCCTCCAGGGGCTCTTCCTGACCCAGGGATGGAACTAGTGTCTCTTATGTCTCCTGCATTGTCAGGCAGGATTTTTACTGCTCATACCACCTGGGAAGCCCAGTCTATTCTTAGATGCATTTTCTGATCAGTGCCTGAAATGATGATATTGTGTGCTGTTGATCAAAGGAGACATCACATACACAGAGAATGCAGTGACTAGAGATCACACTCAGCTGAAGAAATTTAGGAGCCCCTTTCCGTAGAAAGATGGACCAGGAATGTGTGAGCAGGTTAAAAATATTCTTGATCAGGACCTGATCAAGCCTTTGGATAACTGTTTAGGTTGAGACTTCAAAGTTTGGTCATAGAGCTTGGTTCATTTATGTTAATTTTAAAAAGGCTATTGCTATAGAGAAAACTTACAGTCCATCAGTTTAATAGCTAGGTCTGCTGATGGATGGAATATGTCCTTCCATCGGATGGAAATGCGCTTCCCCCAAACCCCATTTAAACTGAAATTTTGTACTGTATTTTCAAGGCATATCAGCTTTGAATGAATGTTTTTGTTTTCCAGTGATTTTGTTTTGTTTTTTTTTCTGTTAATGGATTTAGACTATCCCCACTCCATTCTGTAGTTTCTTCATTCCTGGTTTCAGGTTTTCTCCTGATAGAGATCCAGTTTTCCCTGACATGTAAAATGTTGGTCACCTTGGGATTGTAGAAGCACAAGGTGGGACCTCGTATCATTGGGAAACTCCCCAAAACAAAATAAAATCCTTTTCATGGCATGTTGTATGATACCTTATATCGGCAAAAATAGCTTACCAGCCCACAAAGGTCTAGCCCTAGCATCCTGCATCTCTTTAGCGCCACAGAATCTGCTGAGAGTGANTCTGTAATTTTCTTGAAGAGATCTCTAGTCTTTCCCATTCTATTGTTTTCCTCTATTTCTTTGCACTGATCACTGAGGAAGGCTTTCTTAT